CCACCAAGGGGGTTTTCACCCACTGAAAGGCAGCTGGAGCTCCGGGATCCTGTACGGATCCAGGAGCTGTTGGTGGCACCCCTGGGGGATTCCTCTCACCTGAAAACCTCTAACAAAATCAAAGTGTTCTAAGTGTTACCAATTTCCAAGCATCACCGATTTCCATCTCACAGGACACCCATTAAACCCTGCTGAAGCATTTTTCCTAACTAAAGCTGTCTCGGAAGATGCAGCTAAGAAAAGCAGGAACAGAGGAGCCAAGTGCAGCCTCTGGAAGGGAAAACTTGAGGCAAAGCAGGGGCCAGAGCCTGTTAAACCACTGTGAGACTCAGCAGTGACTCACACTTGGACTTTTTTTCCCCTCCTTTCTTAAGGAGGCCAGAGATACCTGTTCTTAAGCAAGAGCAGAGCCACTTCCTGGCCAACCCCTTGCACACCCCATTTCCCGCCCGTGCAAACCACCCTCCACAGAGCTGCCGGGGCTCTGACTCAGCCCTGCACCTTGCAGAGCTGACACAGGGTGAAAATCACACCCCTCTGCTCTTGGGGTGCTCCCACTTCTGAGAGGGAGATGGATTGTGGGGCTCCACCTCGGCCTGAAGCCCCGGGAGCCTTTGCTCAGCCAGAATTCCGAACACGAGCGCGCGCAGGACCTCAGAAGAGGAACTGAGTCAGTCAGCAGGGTGACACTCACTCACCAACAGCCCCTGGGAGCTGATGCTTCCCCACGAGATGAGGGGAAAGTTTTTGGTTTTTTTTTTTAACTTCCAGAAAGCACCAAAGCTGAGGGGATTTCAGATTGCCCACACTGAGCTGTCAGGTTGGACAGATATTAGAAGCAAATCCAAGATAAAAGCACAGCCTTGTGTTAGAGGGAAGTCTGAGTCACAGAGCTCACACCGGGGCTGCTTCCACATCCACAGCGAGTTCTGTGCTCCTGGCAGTCCCTTCTGTGCCATTCCCAAACCCCAGTGGGAAGGGAGGTCACCTCAGCTCCCCGGGCTCTCGCAGCCCTTGCGCCAGCTGTTCTGACAGCATTTCTAAAGCGAGACACATTCCCTCGGGAGGACTTGCATTATCAGGGATAATTTCCAATTAGGAATGGTGGGCAGAGCTTTTCCAAGGCCTGTCCATGAGGACAGGGCCCTGTGAGTGGGGGCTGAGTCAGGCGTGCTCCGATGGGGCACGATAAGCGCCGGCATTTTGAAATGTGACTCACTGCTACAGCCAGAGAGACACACCGGTTCCCCTGCTTGTCTCCAGCTCCGAGGAGTTTAATTAAGTCAGAGTAAGTTCATTTGCACAGCCACACCCTGGACTGACAGCCAGGCAGAGCTGAACACCCTGGAAGGGGAAGGCTTCTGCACCCACCTGGCTGGATATTCATGGAATCACGGAATGGTTTGGGTGGGGAGGGACCCCAAAGCTCAGCTCGTTCCATAGGCAGGGATGCTGCTCACTAGAGCAGGTAGTGATGCTCCTGAGCATTCCCAAAGCTTTGCAGCAAGGAAGGTGTTCCAGGGCTGGCACCTGTAGCTGTGGGAGCAGCCTCGGAGCGGAGCCCCGGCCGTGCCCTGTGCCAGCAGAGCAGAGCTGTGACCCCGCTGCCTGTCCCAGGGGATGGCAGCTGTCACAGGATCCAGATCCCGCTGCTCCCAGCCCCCCGCAGCCCCAGCACCTGCCCAAGTCCTTTCATCAGCTCACTCGTGTCCTGCTCAGGCACCACCGAGTCCAAACGTCACATCTGTCACTCCACAAGCACCCCTAGTCACTCATCAGCCCCTTTGTCCATCCCTGCACGTGCCACACCGGCTCGTGGCTGCCCTTTCCAGGGAATTTCCTCCCTGGAACACGGCAGTGACAGTCCCTCCGTGCCCTCACCTTCCCAAGTTACCTGGGGCTGGCACCGAGGCTGGAGATCCCTGACAATAAAGTTTGCTCAAGTGGGAATATTAAAGCAGCATCCTTCTTTTCCACTAATAATCTCTCATCTAATTCTCAAAGGAATTACAGCCAGGCTTCCAATCTGGGAGATCCAGAACAGAGCCCTCTTTATGCCAGCACAACACCCAACTCTGGCACCAGATTGCCCCTTCCTGCTTCTCTCATAATTCAATACAAGTAACATACCAGGAGAGCTCCGCTGTATAATTGCTTTATTTTCTGCTTATTAGTTCTTTACCAACACTACAGCCATATTGAGAACACAAAATTCCTGGGAACTTCAGTCAGGGAGATCACAGGCCACAAACTCAGTCACTTGGTCGGACACGATTGAACGCCATTCAAAACTTACTCCATAAATCACACGAACACAAATCGATGCACTTGGAATTCCAGACTGGTTTGTTTGGTACAGAATTCCCACTTTATCCTACTGACAGCCACTCCCTCGTGCTGAGGTCCAGCTACAGCCTAGAAAGGACGTGTTGGAAGTGAAACCTGTGGGTTTTTGTTCGGTGGCCGCAGCCGTTTATTTCTGACGGCTCTGCCACACGTTCCAGTAACTTTTTCTCCCCCATCTCTTCCTCCCCCCCCCCCCCCCCCCCCCAAAAAAAAAATTTAAAAATCCAGAAGCAAAAGCAATTTCCTTTCACCTACAAAACAGAATTACAAAGTTACTTCTAAGGGGATACAAAACTGCAAAGTCAACTTAATGCAAAGGCTGCCCCAGCGCTTGGAAACACAGGAAACCAACTCAGACAAAAAATGAAGGTATTGAAGTTTTCATGTTGACTGAGAATAGGTTTAAGAAAGTTCAAGAACCATTAATAGAGCTTCAAGTTTTCCAGTTTAGGCATTTACTTTGTGCTTGGCTATTTTATTGATGCTCCAGAAGAAAACAGTAACCATATTGTTGCAATTTTAAGTTTTTATACCACCAGACTGTTCATTAAGTTACAGCAACAGGAAAAGAAAAATAAAAGCTAGAAAATAGAGCAATGATATTCCAATGGCAAAAAGCCTTGGAGTAAAAGAAACTAATCTCACTTCCTCTTCTTTAGGGCTGAGATGGAAGAGTTATTTCTACATTAGGCTTCTGCAGAGTCTCTCTAATTCACAAAGTCCATCAATGCTCTATCTTCTAGCACCAAGAACCCATCCAGTCCCATTTGCAACCCACATCCAGAAAAGTCTTTTTTTGGAACCATACTCTAAAAGGACTTTGAAGTGCTCCATAGCATTGGATTTCAGAAGTGAATTCAGGATTTTTATCTTCCCATACATCTTTGGTAAGAGCTCCATGTGTACAATGTACTCAGCATGCAGAGTCACCACTGCAGCAATGTAGTGTAATGCCCCCAGTTCCATGTAAAACTTATATTATTGAAAAGAGAAAACAATTAAGAAAAAAAAAAAAAAGGAAAATAAAAGCCATTTTCTTCTGGTTTTGTAGCATACATTCCTAGAATTCCCCAACGGAGTTTTAACTCCTTGAGGAAATCTGAAGTTAATCCTTAAGGCTGAATAAGAACCAGCTGCTTTAACAGTTTGTGCACCCAGCGTTAATTAATGATTGAGTTTTTATGCAAATACTCGCTCTGGGTGGGGTTTTTGATTGGCCAGTCCCAGCTACAGGCTGTGACATGGCTAAAGAGCTGCTTTGCCCTTTAAGAACTAATTATGGAAGTTTACATTCAGCGTCGATTCTCTCTCTCTCCCCTCCCCGCTCTCATTAGCAGTTCCTCAATGGCCTCAGACATCCAACATAGTTCCCTTTCCTACCGGACTCCGGCAGCCCCGGGCCACAGGGAGGAGGCTCCAGCCGCTCGCAGGAGCTCAGTCCAGGCTTGGGAAACCAAAGCAAGCAGTGATTTCCTCAAAATGGCCATTCCCGATGTCAGAAACGCCGGGCGCCAGCAGAGCTCGGCTCGGAACTCACCGCCCTCGCAAGGCTCCAGCATGGAAAAAGAACAATAATAACAATAAATAACAATTTCCTCCTGTCTGTTGGAAAGAAACAGGAATCCCTTCAAGGTTTAGGTGTCTCCAGCTGCCTTGAGATGGAAGCGAGAGGCAAGTCAGAGCTGGACTTTTGCCAAAACATCTGATTTAAACTCAAACTCATTGCAACATTTTATTGCTGCATCTGCTGGAAAGAGCCTCGGCCCGAGGACCGACACCGAGGAGTAAAAAACTGCAACTAAACCTCATTTAAGACAAAAAAACCTGCCCGGTGCCTACCCTGGAACTACAGCATGGCTCATGCCTGGTTTGCTATGTGGTGTGGGGAGCTGGTTTTGCATCCCTCCTCATGCATGATGTATGGGTCAGAACTTCCCAGCTGACATTCCAAAGCAGTTCTTACATTTCCCAGCGCCCGACACGCACTTTGAACACGTTACAGTGGAATTCCCACTCTCTGCCACTGCAGGCAAGAATTCCCCTCGTTAGCCTGAGCCGTGGAGCCAGACTGAGTCACTGTTTAGTTACAGATTAACAGAACTTTTTTTTTAAAAAAAAAAAAGTCCTTAATATAAAAAGACAGACTGCAGTTTGATTTTAAGCAACAATTTTCAGTTTACTAGATGAAGTCGACCTAGCAACATATCCTGCAAGAATGCAAAAAAGTAGCAATCTACAGCAAAGTGAGAGGAGAGAAAAAAATATATATATAATCAAAAAAGTAGACCCAGAAAGCATACACTGAAAATGGACCCCCTCCCCCAACATCCCCCAAAATAATCAAACCAGCAAAGGGCTAACGAGAGGAAAAAGGAAAAAAAAAACAACCAAAAAAAAGTTACTTAGCAAGTCTATAATGTGTCCTTCCCCTGTTTGCTGGAAGTCTGCCATAGCATCTAGTGCCTGTGTTCGTGTCACATTCGGAGGTTAGAGCATCCTAACGCCAAGCAGGAGGAGTTAGAACAGGAATCCAGCCAAGGGTGCAGGAGGAAAGGGTGGCAACTGGAGAAAGGTGATCATAATCCTATGGATGCGGTTTTGTTTTACTTTTCAGTAGAGAATCATTCTTCTGGAAAGCCACGTGGGTTATTTAATTTTTTTTTGTTTCTTTTTTTTTTGTTGTTTGTTTAAATTTTTTTTGTTTTGTTTCTTTAATTCTTTGTAGACTAAATAGTTCCTCTCCCATTAGGATTTATAATTGGACGTTAACCACGTCAGCCCTTCGTAGAGTCCATCCCCCGTCGTGGCACAGGAGGGCTGCACATACCAATTCCTATCCCTGATCCGGGTCAGGCCCAGTTTCTCCTGGATCTCGTGGGGTTTCATGGCGTCGGGCAGGTCCTGCTTGTTGGCGAAGATGAGGATGATGGCGTCCCGCATCTCCCGGTCGTTGATGATGCGGTGCAGCTCCTGCCGCGCCTCGTCGATGCGGTCGCGGTCGGCGCAGTCCACCACGAAGATGAGCCCCTGCGTGCCCGTGTAGTAGTGCCGCCACAGGGGCCGGATCTTGTCCTGGCCGCCCACGTCCCACACGTTGAACTTGACGTTCTTGTAGGTGACGGTCTCCACGTTGAAGCCCACGGTGGGGATGGTGGTCACCGACTGGCCCAGCTTCAGCTTGTACAGGATCGTGGTCTTGCCGGCCGCGTCCAGCCCCAGCATCAGGATCCGCATCTCCTTGTTCCCGAAGATCTTGGACAGCACCTTGCCCATCTCGGCGGCATCCAAGGGAGGGCGAGAGGGCGAGCGCCGGCCCGGCGGGGAAGGGCGGGCGGGGCTCAGCGCGGGCCGCGCATGGGGCGGCGGGGAGGCGGCTCCGCTGCTCCGCCGGGCCCGCGGCGGCGGCTCCGCCCGCTGCTGCCTGGGCTCCCGCCGCGGCGCCTCAGCTCATGGGTACCGGCGGGAGGATCCCGCGGGCCGGGCAGCGCCGGGAGCGGCCGCGATGGGCTCGGGAGCGTCCCGGGAGCGCCGCGACCGTACCTGAGGGCCCCGCGCGCCGCCGCCTCCGCCCGCGCCGCCGGAAAGGGGCCGCGCGCGCCCGCGCCCGCTTCCGCCCCGCCGCCGCCCCGCGCATGCGCCCGCGCGGGCCGCGCCACGCCCGCGCCCCTCCTTCCGCCCGCGCCTTCCCGCCCGCCCCGCGCGCCTGCGCAGACGCCGCCGTCCCGCCCTCGAGGGGGCGTGGCTTTGCTGGAGGGGGCGTGGCCTCGCCGCTGATTGGTTGGCGCGCGGAGGGGGCGGGGCCGCGGTGGGGAGAGGCGCCACGCGATCGCGCGTCAGCGCGGGGCGCGCGCGGGGCGCGGGGCGCGCCTTAAAGGGACAGGACCCGGCGGGACGGGCTGGGAGCGGTACCGGCACCGGCACCGAGCCCCGCACCGGCGGTGCGTGCAGCGAGGGCGGGAACCCCCCTCACGGCTGCCCCGAGAGGCTGCGGCTGCCCCTTGTTCCTGGCAGTGCCCGAGGGCAGGCTGGGCACCGGGCCGGGAGCAGCCCGGGACAGCGGGAGGTGTCCGTGCCCTGCCCCGGGCTGGGCTGGGCTGGGCTGGGCGGTCCCGTCCAGCCCCGAGCCAGCGGTGATTCAGTGCCGCATCATCGGGTCTATGACTCCGCGCTGTCCTGGGTCACTGCCGGTGATCCCGGTGGGTGGAACTCCACGGATCCGCGCCCGGGACAGCGGGCAGCGCTCGGGGCACGGCCCTGCCCGGTGCCCGAGCCGTGCCCCGGCACGCCGAGCGCGGACAGCGGCAGCTCTGCGCTCACACGGCGGGCCGGGCCCCACCCGGGGCACCGGGACACCGGGACACGGGCAGGGACACTGGCATCCCACCAGGATGCCCCTGGTCACTCTGGGGTCTGCTGCTGGAGAGCACATCTGCATTCCCCTGAGATCCTGTGGGGTTGACTTCACCCTCTCTTCCCATTCCCTTCAAAAACACCGAATGGGAGTTGATTTCTCTGGCTGATGTCCTGGCACATGGAAAGCAATTCCTCTGTGGGAGAACGGGAGGTTTTCTAGACTGCAGAATTATTCAGGGCTCAAGCTCTTCCCTCTGCTGAGCAGCGACAGGAACGGCTGGAGATGTGCAGGGAGGTTTGGTTTGGAGATCAGGCCTGGGGGCTGGGTCCATGGTCCCTGGGGTCCCTTCCAGCTCAGGATTTTCCAGCGTTCTGCCATGGCAAGAGGAGTTTTTGAGGAAGGCTTTGCTGTTTCCTGCAGCGAGGGCTCAGGATTGTCCCTGCCTGGCCAGGCACTGCCAGAGTTCACGCTCTGCTGGTTAAACCAGCAGATAATGCTGCTAATTCACATTTCCAGCAAGCCCTGATCCTGCTGGATGCAGCTGGTTGAGTCTCCTCTCTCACTAGCATGGGATATTTATCTAAACAGAAAGCTAAATATTTGCAGGGCTAAAATTAACATCAGGCTGTGGATATTGGTGGGTTTTCACTTGGCTCTGCTCAGTGTGACCATTTCCGTGCTGCTGAGTTCATTCAATCGGGCAGCACCAGGCCACAAGGGTTCAAAATAGTAGAGAAAGGTGATGTCAGGAGCTTTAAGGTCCTTCCTCTGCCCACGAGCTGGAATCTGTTGTTCTTCCCTTGTCTCAGAGCAGCTTTTTGTGCTGTCAGGAAATGACTTTTGGTGCTTTTGTTCTGACAGTGCAAAGCGTTGAGGGGAGGGTGTGACCGTGCTGAGGTTGTTCTGCTTTCCTTTGTAAGAGCTGAGAGGCTCCTCTGGGGCTTTGTCCCTGGACCCAGCAGGTGAGGAGGTGGATCTCAGGGAAAAGGTGAAAATAAAGCACAGCTGGTGGCACACGGGCTGTGTCACCCCCCTCTGGTACCATGAAACCCCATGGAATGAGCAGCTGCAGGCTGGGCAAGTGCCCTTTCCATCATCTGCTCCCCCTTTTGCACCCAGCCGTGCTGTTCCTCGGGTCTCTCCTCTTGAATCTCGGGGGGGTTTTGGGTTGTTGGAGGCTGCATTGTCCATCATCTCTGGGGATTGGGTGCAAACAGGGCTTGGCCTGCTTTGGCTTTGCCCATTTGACCTGGCAAACAGCTTTTCTGAACTCCTTCTGTCCTTTCCCTGCTGGAAAAGTGATGTGCAACACCTGCCAGAGTTTCTCTGAGCTGCTCCTGCACTGGAGCCCTGTGGAGATTGGGCCCTGCCAGTGCCCCCTGCTCCAATCCCTGTTATCCCTCTGCCTGCTGATGATGCCTCAGGCTTTGGATTTTCTATTTTTCACACTCTGTGTTGCTTTAGTGTGTGGGTCTGGGCTCCATACCAGGGGATGCTGAGCTCTCTGCACAGAGCAGGGACACAAAACAATTCCTGCTCCAGCTGGGCACCAAGGACAAATGATCCAAATCTCAGCCCAGGAGCACAAACACCGTGGGCTGGAGAGAGAAAAACAAGCAGGGTGGGACTGCCTGGGCTAAAGCTGGAATGGGACAATGAACTCCAAGGTGCCAATGGAGCAGAACTGATCCCAGGGAGAGCCCCCGGGAGCGCTCGTGCATTTTGGGGCCATTTTGGTTCATTTGGGTGCAGCCCTGGCTGGGCTCTGGTGCTGCCCAAGGTGGATCCATGCAGGAGATCCTTTAATAAATCCCTGCTTTATTCTGTGACTCCATCCAGCCCCTGCTCCAGGGCAGTTTCACAAGGGATCTCTCCTTTCCCCGGATCCCTGGCAGGGCCCGTGGCCGAGCTGAGCTGCTCTGGGCTGTGGTTGCAGCTTCTGCCTCTGCATGACACCAAGAGCACAAAAAACTGATCCTCCCGTGATCATCCACGGCTCAAAACCTGCCAGAGGGGAATGATGAGCTGCACATCTTCCCCCAGAAACCCCAAACTGGTGGGGGGATGTGGCAGCTCAGGTTGGAAGGGAGCAGAGCGGGGTCACCTGGTGCCACCCCACTGCTCCAGCAGGGCCAGCACAGGGCACAGGATGTGTCCAGCTGGCTCTGGAATGTCTCCAGGATTGGAGACTCCTCTCTGGGCAGTCTGTTCCAGTGCCTGGGATTCACTCTGGCGATTGCTTTTCCTCCTGTGCTGCGATTTATTCCCAAGGATCCTCCCTGCCCTCCAGGAAACCTTCCCAACCTCACAATCTGTGCACCAGGGAAGAGTTGCCATGGCCTGGCTGTGCTTGGAAAGAAGTATTCCTGCTCTTTAGGAGGATGGAGAGCAAGGAGACATTTGAGCACTCAGCACTTTGGGTAGTTAAGATCTCTAATTAGTCACTAATGAATCAGTGCAGCTCACGTTCCCCAGTCCCACAGGGAATGGGGGAGAAGCTGGAGAGAGAGCACCACCTACTTTTGGAACATTTTAGTGGAGAGTCCTGCTGCTTTCCGTAAGTGCACAGGAAGAAGGGTAAACAGGAAGCAAATGGAAATAACTTCAGTAAAGCAAAAAAAGCTTTGCTGTCTGAGGGATCCCACTGCTCTGGCCCCACAGAGCCACCGGGAGAGCACAGCCTTTAAATGGGAATTTGTTTGGAAAGACAGACCCGCATTTTTAAGCAGCTGTGGGGTGGAAATTTGTCACCACAGATGAAATGGGATGGTCTGAGCAAAGCAGGTTCTTCACCTCAGGATGGAGATAAACCTACTCCCTGTAACCACCCTCAGGGAAAGGAATGCACCTCTGGGCACTGTCTACTCCACATAGCTCAGCCTTTCACTGCTGACTGATTTTCAAGGTAAAATACTCCAAAAGAGGCACTCAAAATACCCAGATATGTTCTAAATTACCTGAAAAACGTGAGCTTTTAGGATGGGTTCAGTTTCACACACCTGCTTGAGAATTAAAACCCTTCTCAGCTCCTTGGCAACCCCCAGGGAGTTACTGGGTAGCTTGCAGGAGTTAAATATTTTAGAACTGAGTTAAATATTTTAAAAGTGAGTTAAATGTTTTAAAAGTAAGTTGAACGTTTTAAAAGCGAGGTGAATGTTTTAAAAGTAAGCTGAATGTTTTACAAGTAAGTTAAATGTTTCAAAAGTGAGTTGAATGTTTGAAGAACGAGGTGAGTGTTTTAAAAGTGAGGTGAGTGTTTTAAAAGCGAGCACTGGCTGACGCTGTGTCAGTGGCTGGAGTGTCCTGTGTACCTGTGGGCATTTACAGCCCAGAGAGTAAGAAGCAATTAGGTTATAAAGTGATTAGTGGTTACAGCCTGGGGAGAAGGGCAGCAGATACCTGTGGGACCTTGTGGTAGCTCAGCTGGGCCTGGCTGCTCCTTATCTTTATCTTTCCTTATCCAAAAGGAACCTGTGGGCAGAGCAGGTACCAAGGTTTGCATTTATTGTTCTCCATGGGTTTGCAGGGCTGTGGTTCCATGTTCTGCCCTCCACCAGAGGTCCAGGTGCTGTGACAGCAAATTAACAAACCTTGAGACACCAAATTAACAAAACCTTGAGGAAGTTGATGCTCATCAATCAGAGCATTTTTATCTCTTTGAATAGAAATCAAATTCCAATCACTGTGGACCATCAGGCCAAACCTGTTTGGATGGGGTGCAGCCCATCTTTCCTTGCTTCCCTCTTGACAGAGATGGGAAAAGCCTTTGTTCACTGATCTTCAAAGACCTTTGTGGCTTTCCAAGGAAGGAAAAGGGAATAGAATAACTCTGGCTTTAGTATCTGTGCTAGATAAATTCTTCTGTTGTGAAAACAAATTACATCCTCCATACAACAATGGCATTGCAGGGGCAGATTTGTCACGGAGATATCTGACACAATGGGCCAAGTGTCCTGTGCTGGGTGAGTCAGGGAGAGAAGCTTTTCCCACAGCTCCTGGCCCTGGTCCTGCCTCCCTGTGGGCAGGGAGGGGTGGGGATGGTTCCCAGGGGTGTCTCAGCCCTGTTTCCTGTGATTTGGGTGGGATTGGCAGGAAGCTGAACCTGAAACCTCCAAATCTGTGTGTGCTACAGGCAGTGGCATCAGAGACATCCCTGGATCTTCCCATCCCGTTAAGGAAATGGAGGAGTGGAGGTGGGAAGGGGTGCTGGGGATTATCCTGGCTG